GRTCAAGCTTGGGGTGGATCAATGAAGATAAAAAATCTCTACTTTTAACACAAAATCAGAAAAACAAATAGAATTTTTTTATGTAGCATTCTTAAAGTCAAACAATAATGAATCAGTATGGTCAGTGAAAAGACAAAACACAGCATCAGATTGAAGCTTCAATAGTACAAACCCACTGAACTGGGAAACTGAAGTTGACTATGACACCAAGTGCCCAGACACAGACCTAAATCCCTTAAGTCATATTTAAAACTCTGCTGTAATTCACAAAGATTCACAAGATACCTTTTGCTCCTTTACAGCCTGTGTCTACCTACAAACGCTCAACGCTCAATGCTTGCACATTACTAAACCAATTATTAATACAAGTCCTGTACAKAAAACCAAAAACAATCCTATTCTTCTATTATTTTCTCAAATATTGTATAAAGTAAAACACATGCCTCCAAAATTAATCTATAATCATTTACAGGTCATGGTTGATAATAACAGAACACTGTGCCGTCCTCAGGCATACAGTTACTGTGATGTTTTACAGAACACAAATTCTTAAATACAGACTTCTTTCACTATGCTTGCTATCTGCAAGAGAATCTTCAATTCTTCAAATATGCCATTCAACCTTTTAAAATTCAACATAAATTTTAAATGCTGCTCCAATTCTGATAACCCCTCTTTTAGCTAAGCCGGTTGCTTGGTAGTGATTTGTCAGATAAGTTACACAATACTGTTTCTGTTTCCTGATTAGATAAGCAGATAAGGTTTTTGGTTGTGTTTTTTTCTGGCACAAACATTTATGTATAAAACTTCTCATTTTCTGTGAACACATGCAACTTTGTAATCCCCTCTCTACAAATCTACATGCCAGTGAAAGTCAGCCATGGACAGACTGCATTTGCTATAGGAAAACTTAGAGTGAGTATCAGCATGCAAAAAGCAATTCTGTCTAGAAAACTGAACAAATGTTCAGGAAATTTCTCTCCCTCTATGCTGCCTACTGCAGAATAAAGGAAAGCAGTGAGCAATACCCTTAAGATGGGGCACAGGGAGCACATGGCCTTGGTACATCTCTTGCATTACAGAAACAGGAGAGTCAGACTGTGACCTCTCTGCCCAGGGATGCAAGTGTCAACCCCTTGGGCAGGCAGAGACTTGGCAGGGAGTGTTCCTATCCCCCACCTCTGGGAAATGTTACCTCCCACATCCACTCATGGGCCAAAGCGAGGAGGAAGAGCAGCCCACCACTCCAAACACAAATGATACACAACCAGAAAGGATCCAAAGCAGGGATCAAGCCACCTGGAAGCACTTTTTGCCACCTGACACCATTGTTTTTCTACAAAACCAAATTGAAACACCTTGACATGGCCCAGAGACCAACATGTTCCCATGCTTTAGCCGACACCTGCTCTGCACATAGTTCCACTCATCTAAAAAAACCTGCTTACAAAGGAATGGCCGCACAAACTTGTTCATATCAACTGAAGATGATGAAATGCACACAAATGTGACAAGAAGTAAGTGCAGAGAGATCAGGTTTTACACACCTTTACCAAACAGGACAATAATTTTTGATACTTAAAATCCTGCTCATCTGTGGTCCCCAGTTACTCGAAACAAGTAAGTAACAAATAACATTTGATTTTTCTAAGACACCACTTACAGTCTCCTCGCACCACAGATGCCATTAAAAAGGTCTAGCCAAATGAGTAAGTTTGTGAAAAAAAAGGAGTTGGGCTTGGTATTCAGATCTATCATGACCACAACCCTTGTCTATGAACAAAGCAGGCAAAAAAAAATTAAACATGTCACACAACACATGAGTAAGATCAGARTGAAAGCATAAATATTTCTGCAAATACATGAGAAATGTTTGCTGCAGACCAATCTAACTCTTCAAATTTTTCCACAGCTTTATTAATAAGGATAGTGAGGCCTAAGGAAGATTTACAGTGGGTGTTCAGACACACAGATAGGTGTGGTGAAAACACCTGTATTATCAGACTGCCTAAACTAATATAGTACAAATATTTCAACACACTAATTTATTCAAACTTCATGGAAGTTCTTTCTAAGTGATCTAATGCAAGTTACTACTTGGAAGCAATAACATCCCTAAGGCTTTTTATTTTCTAAATATAACAGTCAATTTTGGGATTTTTTTACACAGTATTATGACACAAGTACTATAAAAGCCAGTAAGTGCTTCACACCTGTCACGATCATATCGTCAGCAATGACATTACACTTTGTATGGAAATAATTTTTCTGGATAGTGAGTTTAAATAGAGTTCCTTTGACGGAGTCTCTGACCCCCCAAAACACCAAACAAGACTAGAAGTGATAGTTTCAAAAAAAYGGTTCTAGGAAACAATTTGCATATTATGTATGACTAAGGAGTAGAGACATGCTTCAATCTTTACGTCTCGAGCTTATAATAAGAATTTGTGTTCAAGGACTTCTATGCACAAAACACTTCATCTCAACAAATTAAGCTCCTTATGAAGGCCCAGGTGAAGTAGCAAAATTTTTGTTCAATTATTTTTGAATTAACATTACTGATATAGAGCCTTGAACCTTTCACCTACAAATAACCTACAAGAAAATCACAGTTCTGCTGCTAACTTATCTTTGGGCTGACAAAATAGAGAGGTTTAGGCACGTGAGAGTCAAGACAGGAACACAATCAAGCTTGGCATCTCTGTAAAGGTCTTTCAAAAGGAAGTTGTATGGTATTTTAAATAACTTTGATGCGCGTTCCATGCAATTTTACAGTTTATCAGACAAATCTACATTATTGATTAATTAATTCATTTTTCAAGAGCTTGTTTAGAAAACGTAGGATTCCTCTGAGCTGCCAAGATGCTCAAAATTGAATGCACGTGTAACGACAACTATAATATAATGAGAAACTTAACATCATTTCAGACTATATATTATGACGTTACAGGTAATAGCAGGATTTCTCTCAGCATGAGTAAGTCACACCAAAGTTTCACTACGATGGGATTGTTCATTACGAACTGACTTTCCAAGAAGTACTTCTCAAGACAGAGGTTGTGTACGTAAACCACTTTCTTAATGAAACAGAAACAAAACCAGCTACTTAATAAAGCGTCCTGAACCATTTCACTAGTTGCATTAGGTGCTACCTCATCATGGTGTTAGTGACACATCACAAACAAAGAGTGTAAATTTGATTTGCTTACRCTCACCAATAAAGTTTCTCCTCTCGCAGCCAACAGAACTGTGTCAGGCCTGGCATACTGGCAAATACCACTAACCTGGAATTTGCCTGTTCACACTGATGGTACCAGAAGACCTTATGGCCTATGTGACTAATTTTATTTGTTTTTGCATAACATGCATGGCTTAGTGTAATCGAAGATAATATTTGATGTTGGCTGCTCAGTCGACTGTAGGTCACGCTCAGCAGTGAGAAGGAAGACTAAAATGCAATTTGAGCTAGAGTGAATGAATTCAAAGATTGTAACAGACCCTTTCTAACTGCAAGTGAAAACATGTCCACTAAGTTGCTAATAATAATTAAACATTTAAAGTTTATATGCTTATCTTCACATGAGGAACTGAAACATTGCACCAAGGGACAGGGTCCACAAAAAAATCCAATATGGCCACTGATGTGTAGTTGTCTTTTGACTCAAAATTGCCTTGGCTTTTACCACGTCTATCAGTTGCACATATACACCTGTTATACGCGTACTTCAAAAGAAGTTAACACAGTGACAGTCATCTGCGTGTATCCAACCCTGAAACGTTCTTCATGGCAGAGAGATCCATATGCTATCAGACCACCCTGTCAAGGCCAAACCACAGTCATCCACAAGCACCAAGAGACAGACAGGTACAGAGGTGTGCCAGCACTATCCACTTACCTTCTTTATTAAGCCTCATAACCTCCCTGCTTTTTCCACCCTCCTTTCCAGTCTCTTCCAGATCTACACCTGCAGAAGAGAAGCAGAGTCAGGAAGCGCCGAGGGCCCTGAGGTGTGCATTTATTGTTTGGCGAGGGGAGGAGGAGAGGTGAGGAGGTGAGCAGTGTTTCTATTTGCAACAGCAAAAGCACAATGGTCGGAGCATCTGCCAGGGAGCGGAACCGCCGGGCCCCCCGCGGCAGCACCCTCGCCCCCCCCTCCCCGCCCGCGGCATCCTCCGGCCCCTCCGCGCATCCTCCCCCTCGCCCCCTTCCCCCACCGCGTTGCCGGCCCAGCGCCGCGGGGCAGCGGCACGGCAGGCGCGGCGCGGCGTGCGCCTCCCGCACACATGGCACGGGGGCTCGGCCGAGCGTCAGCTGAGCGCCCGGGGGGGCGGCACCTCCCGGCCCCGGCGGGAGGAGGGAGGGGAGGGGAGGGGGGGCGGCCCGGCCGGACCCCGGCCCCGCTCCGGGGGGAGCGGCGTGCGGAGCCGGACCGCGGCCGGTCCCTGCCCTTACTGTGCGGGGGGGCGGCGCCGTGCGCGTGCGGGGGGGCGGCCTCCCGCACCCAGGCGGCCCAGGGCTGGCCCAGGAACGCCTCGGGACTGGGCACGGGCCGCTCCAGGGCCGCCATGGCGCCGCGCCTGCTCCTGCCTCCTTGTTGCTTTTCCCGTTTCCTTCGGCGGCGGCGGCGGCGAGCGAGCGAGCGAGACACGGGATTCGAGAACGCCGCACGTCATCCTCGGGACGTTCCGCCGCCCACACGGGGGTAGTGTCAGCCCCTGCTCCCTATCAGATCGGGCTCCCCGCCGCACAGCGCGCATGCCC